GTACCAGGGATTGAATTTAGAACCTTGTGCTTGTGAGGCAGGTGCCATGCCACTGAGCCCTATATTGGTTTCTTATAGCTGGTCAGACATAGCTCTTGTCATTTTTCTTATAGCACAAACTAATGGCTAATAGTGTTTTAAAATTATGTGGAAGATGATATGTAAACTATGGAGTTCAGAGTTCATTTAATTTGATCTTCTTTGTAATATGAACTTTTAAGTGCAGAGTTTAAATGTGGTTGTCTAAGGATCTTGGGATGTAAAACTAGTTTTTCTTGGGTTATAAAGAATTTTTGTTGATAACCTTTTCATAGTTGCCCTTTAGTGGAGCATTTAACATTTTTCATAGTTTTCAGACAAGTTCTTTCCTGTTTTTAAAATCTTTTCATCCTGTCTTCTTGTGTGTGCCTTGGGACAATACAGCTTTTAGTGAGGGGTCTGGAATTATCTGGATTTGAATCTTGGCTCCCTAGATAACTTCTGAATCTTACTATTCTCTGTATAATTGGAGAATAATGATACCTTTTAAGTGTGCTGCAAGGATTAAACAGGCATTTGGCACTTGTTTGTGGTCACGAGTTTTAAGTAAGGGTTACCTTATTTTTTTCCTCAATGTGATAAAACATCTCACAAAATATTTGGTGACTTTTCCCTTAAATCTATGCGCTGAATGTGTGTGGTTACACATATAAGTGACATGTAGGCTTTGCTCAAGAGAGTAACCTTGGACATGTCTTCTGTAATTACTGCATCTCTATTCCCTCCTTTATTTCCCCTGACACTTGGGGTAAATTTAGTTTTTCTTTATTTATTGAATTTCTTGGTATATTTTAGGAATACAGTACAGTTACATTCATTATTGGGATCTTGTACCTTTATATGACAGGTCTTGGTTCTCATTTTTTCCCTTTGAGTAAATTTAGATGTTAACCATTTTCCCCCTAAGTTGTCTGTGTTTGCTGTGTATCACACTGAAAATAATACCTGATGACTACCTAGTACTACAAAAAGATAGTAATCTTTCCGCTTCAGATTGTGTAATCTTAATGGTGTCTTGGAAATGCATGAAGACACTGATAGTTGCCTTATATTTTTCCCTGCATCAGAGCCTACAATTCTTTAGGTGACCATCAGTTGCTCTTAAGGAGAATGTCAGTCAATTTTTTAGTGGTTCTCAATGGGAAACGTACCTGTCCCCAGAGGGCATTTGGAAAAGTATTGAGGTACAGTATCTTTAGTTGTTGAATGACAGTGAGTGGGAGATATACCATTGGCCTTCGGGAGCCAGGGATCAGGTGGGATTGCCCACCTAACACACTAGTGGGATCACTGTTGGGAAAGTGAGCTAAAGACTTCGTGGATTGATGATGTTTTATTTTATCCTTGTTATTAAAAATGTTATTGCTAAGTTTTTGGAAAGAATCTTTCAGAACTATAGTATATATAGTCTTGTAATTCTTCAGTGAGAATCAGGCCAAATTCCTCATTTAAGAAGACTAAAGTATTTTGAAGATTCTGAAGACATTTGCCATTATGGATGTGTTTTTAGCCAGGCATGGGTGCATGCCTGTAATCCCAGCACTAGGAAGGCTGAGGCAGGAGGATTGCTGTGAGTTCAAGACCAGCCTGGGCTACGTAGTAAGTTCCAGGTCAGTCTCAACTGCATAGTGTGACCCTGTCTCCAAAAACCAAAAAAAGAAAAGAAAAGAAAAAAAAAGGAAATTGGCATTATATTCCTTTAGTAATCTGAATATCTTTATAGTTGATAGAAATAATAA